ACTCAAAATGTACTTAAAAAGTACTCAAAAGTACTTTTATAAAAAGTATCGGAGTACAGTAAAAGTACTGGTTTCAAAAATGTACCGGAGTACAGTAAAAGTACCGAAAATTGTAACGTAAGTACAAGTACCGGAGTACTTGTACTCCGTTACTACGGGCTCTGTTATGTTTAACCTTATCCGTACGTCGTGTTTTACTATCGTATCCATACGACGTGGGGAACTCTGTGTCACCACTTTCAAAAAGGAACTTTACTCGTTAATCTGATCCATACGCTTTACATAGCAGTCTGTCAAAATGATTTTTTGAGAAATACTGAAAGTTTCAAAGAGATCTTCGTTGTACTAGAAGTATTCTAAAAAATGTGAAGAATACAACCCTGAGGGTGCATAATGATGGTATTTGACTCCAGGGCGTACGGATACGGTAAAAGACCTGCAGATGAACACTGAATGTTTATGCTCTAAATTCATGTTCTGAATACATAAAATTTCAAAGCAAAAAAATGCAGGACCTGAAAATGTTCATTGTGCGCGTGCTGGACTGTATTTTGTCCTTTTAGCTATTGCTGATGGGTAATTGGATGCCCAAAAGCTTTCTTTATGGGGGTTAGCTAATTATCAACAACATTGCAGATCAAGATAGTATAATACGACATCTGTTACTGTTACAGATAACCTTGACATAGATCTGGAGAAAATGTGCAATTTCAGTCTTATGACAATACAATACATGTAGTAGTGTCTTTGCGCAATACGACTCAAAAGACAGTTTTGTCTAGGTGCTATAGTCTAAAAGCAATTTGGTTGCTTCACTGCAGAATTTACTGCGTCATGTGGAATCCAAGGTTCGAATCCAAATGAGATATTAGATATGAAATACATTCCTGTGTAATGATTGTGGCGTCGGTGGCCTAGTGGTTAGGCTCTCGGACTCGGAACCGTAAGGTCGTGGGTTCGAATCCCGTCAGGAACCCAACGTTGTGTCCTTGGGAAAGGCACTTTACACGAATTTTCCTCACTTCACCCAGGTGGGAATGGGTACCCGGCTATAGACAGCGAAAGATCTTGTCAGTTTGTTAGTGTTTGAGCGCTTAATCAGCTGCTTGCACTGTATGCTTCCCGGGAAGCTGAGAATGTTTCGGAGTGTTCTATGGTCTGCCGGGGTAATAATATAGTGTAAAGCGCATAGAGCCTGCTGTTGAGCGGGGATATGCGCTATACAAATGCTATCTATTATTATTATTATGATTTCCACAAAGCCTGGTGTCCAGGCAGGACGGGGTGGGCTCCACCACATATAGCATCTACAATGATCTGCTCTGCCGTTTAGTTTCAACAACTCAAGAGCAAAGTCACTTATCGACATTGGTGCCCTATTCCTTGCTAAATAATGTATTATTTCATGAAGTAATAGTAGACGACTCAGATGTTACGTTTTCAATGTACGATGCAGGAGGAGGTCTTCCCATGTTGCCTCTATTTTGCACTATTGCACAATTTGTCGTCAGGCCCGTTTTCACTTGTCTGTTGTTACATATTAAGTTATAAAGGAAGAAAAGTAATTTTTCTCTCTACTATGAGTTTCATTAACTTTTATTTGAATTGTCATACTCAACATGAATCATGAATGCATGTGAATCTGTACAGCATCATTTTTGTACAGTAAGAAAAGAGAAAAACCACAGCAGTTAAATACAAAGCTATTTCAAGGCCAGTTGCGTTTTATGAATTTTCTATGTATCACAGGGGCTCAGTATACGAAACGAAAGAAGTTGCAATGATAAAAGCGTGAATCAAAAACATTTCAATCATGACACTATTGACACGGACACAATCAGCACTCAAAATCTAGGCACATTTTTCGCTGTGTTCACATCTTGCAGGTAGGGGACACAACCTATTTGCGTCCCCCTGTTTCATGCTCTCTATGGGGCCATGAGCCCAACAACTCATGTTCTTCCTTGTTCAAATCAATCAATGTATACGTAAAATAAATAAATTATGAGAAAAAAAAATGGAACAAGTAGATTTGAAGAGTCTGCAATCAATAACATTTGACAAGAATTATATATTTTAATGAGCTAGATTTTCTACATTTATTTTTATTTTTATCCAAAATCACTGTACCATTTCGATACATGATTCATCCGTAACTAAAAAAAAAAAGTATTCTATGTAGGGCCTACTAAAAATACTAAAAGAATTTCCCCCACTCCCCCCATTTCCTATCAGTCACCCCAAACAACTTTATTCTTGATTACTTGATTATGATATTTGGAATTCACAAATTTATAAATGGTTTTAAGTTTAAGGATGTAAACACTCATAGTGCTGGAGCTCAGTAGCTCAACACTGACAACAGGTGTGGTGTTCACCTGTCAAATGGGAGGTCCTGAGTTCGACCCTGCCTGCATTGGGATTTTTCTTCTCACGTTTTCTACACCTCTAGACCCTAGGCCAGGGAAGGTAGGATCGAGCACCTTGTTTTCACGAATAAAGACAACAAATTTGGAAAGTCTCATGTGAAAATTTCCCACACGATCCCTTAGCGGGTCTAAAAACCAAACGAGTAGGCCAATTAGGCTACCATACGGGCAAAATTCAAAATTAATTCCTACCCAAAACTCAGTCAGTATAAGACATTATTTAAGAGTACCTTTTAAAACGACACATGGCTGCCTGTCAGGCAAGGGAGATTCTACATTCTATGTACATGAAAATAATATAACAGCCATCATGTACTTGTTCATAACCAACTGCACTGTGATCAGTCAGTAACACCTTAAGCTCTAGCAGAGGTACGATGAGAAGAAGAAAGAAGAAGACCCATAGTAAAAACACACAGATGCCCCCCCACACCACAGGCCGCACTGACGCTTGAACTTTGGGTGGTTAAGAAACAATAACCAGACTAACAACAGAATTACCGTATATAAAAGAAGGGAAAAAAAATTACTTAGTGGAGGTGAATGCTTTTCAATTACACAGTCTGCAGTGCTACAAACTTCAATAGATTCTGTTGAGGGTTTCAAAGAAAAGCACTTGCAAGCTTCCCTGCTATCAAGTCAGGTAAAAACCTCACACCCACAAATGCATTCTGCTGATCAGTTATTATCATTGCTTCATCCAAATAAATATACACAAACATCTTAATTATATACTACTCACAAACAACTATTTATTCTTATTCAACCATATCACGCAAATGTACAGGTCATATAGATATAATATAACGAGATGAAAGCAAAACCTAGCTGTAAATGCAATATACAGGGCCGCCCACCATTCCAAATTTGGAGGAATCGTTACAACTTTTATTCATCGATCACCGTAATACCCTTGATTCCATTTTTTTAGGGGGGAGGGGGGGGGGGGGGGGTTGGCTACCCCTAACCCACTACCCACCTTCCTACTTCCTGGAGTATGAGGGAAGACAAATAGAAAAACTATGAGACACGTACAGTCTACGTCACGCGCAGCTGCCCTTGTAGCCGCTCAGACTCAGTGCCACGTTGCCCTTAGAAAAACACTAGACTAGAAGTGCCAAAGCCAGAAGTAGTGCAAACATTAGATTGAGAAGGTGTTAGAAAATTCCTGACCTTTTGTATCATCATGCCTTTGTTTACATTACATTTTAAAACTACACTGGACTACAATCCCTGTACTTGACATCCTATCGAAGAAGGTTTTCCATGGCCATATTACTCATTTTTAAGCCTGTTCACGAACTTTCTATCTGTTGATTTCTTGAAAAAACACATGTTGGCGGGTGGGCAGCCCAGAATATAATGTACTTTGTTTCTGCACATAAGCATGGTGCATCACTCACTCGAAGTTCTTTGTCTTTCTTACACATTCTGTCATGTCTGTCAAGGAGGTTATGCACACTATGCAACTTCATCAGTCTTCGTCTAAAAAAAGTCTTTATCAAAAAATTAAATATAACATCATGTGCGGTCTGAAACAGGTGGATATGAGCTGTCAACAATGAAATCATTCGCGGAAAAAACAAACAACCTACCCACAAAATAAGGGTGCAAAACATCTTTTTTAAATTTTCAGTCTCACAGTCCATAGTCTTTATACTGAAAGGAATTCTCTCATTGACAGACATAACACAACTTTCATTATTGGCTAGTCGCATTGTGCACATACCCCATTCTCTGTCTGGGTTTTTAATTTACCCTAGTCATATCCTTTGTGTTGTTTATAAAGAGTGCATGTTTTACCTGTACTATATATACTATATAATCAGTCGTCCCACATCATTCACACTATTTGATCATCTTTGGAGGGTAACAATGCATTGGGGAGACAGGGCCCGGTGAGTCACATTGTCAGACAATAATACAAGCATTTCCAAGTGACGTCTACTTAACTGACCAACATCCCATGTGATATATATTCACTGGCAACTGAAACATAACATCTTGTTGCTCTTTTCAAAATGTTTAGGCTAGCGAAAAAGAATAAATACGACCCCTTGGGAAGAGTTCATGATATTTGATCATGTCTTCATACAACCAAAAATGTAAGCCTACTCAAAGGTCAAATTAATAGTGGTTTACTTTTAGGAACATAATCAACTTTTTCGTGCAGTGGGACATCAAAACTAGATCTATAAATATTTCAAATTCCAAAAAATAACCATCTGATAAAAAATTCATAATTGACACCTGAAACACCTAATAATACTGTCGACTTGCATATCTAGCTATAATAATGAACATGAGGCAAAGTGCTTGGTGATGCACACAACATTGTAGTTACTATTACATCCTGTACGTTTTCGTACAATTTTCCAAATTTCTGTATAAGTCGAAGCACACATTATACTTAAACAAAGCATAACTAAATTACACTAGCTAGATTTGTGTTATATGTGTGTACCTGTTCGGACAAAAACACAAATTTGACTTGTTCATGGTGTAATATACATTGATAGTTTGCAGGATGCCATTGACATCTCACTCCTGCGCTTTAAAACACTTCACTCCGGCGCTTTAAAACACTTAATCATGTTAAATCACCTGCCAATGAGCTTCAACTCAAAACGTAGATATAAACTTGGATAGATGTAGGCATGAAACATGTTCTTAACCTCCAGGCTGCCCTTACTGCAACAACAATCCAATCTGAGAGAAAGGAAAATGTATACTCAATCGCAACAACGTACAGCCAAAACGAAACGCTGACAAATTTGAAAGTTTAGAACCTCATTGCAGCACTCATCTCTATGTTGTTACCGTTTACCAGTTGTCCCCCTCCCCCCTTTATATATCAACGATGGCAGCCTCAAAGCAGCCAAATCTGGAAAAGCTTCTTTCACACAAGGCTTAAATAAACTGTCTGGTTCATTATTTATACCCGCGATGTTAGGCATTTCAGCGCATTCCTTTCACTTCAAAAATAAGAGGATGTATACATCAGAAGTATGATTCTGAGAAAAAAGTAGATCTCCTTTGTCTTCACATACCTCAACGATTACAGCCAGCAGTTTCCTGACCCTATACGACAGAGCACCAACCTCTCAGAGACCCTCAAATAGGCAGACTAGGTCTACCATGTTCAAAACGGTGGAGTCAAAGGACCACTGTATCAATTTCCAGCTTCGGGTAATTAGTTATACATCATGACGTTGGGGCTTTGGTACATGCACATGTAGCCGTCACACAGGATGCGGCGCAGGTGCTCAGGCAGGTCCTTGTCATCCGCCTTCTGCAGCAGGAGGGACAGGTTCCTCTCGTCCAGCCAGTTAGACATGTCGGGGACATGCACCACCTCAGGGATGTTGTAGCCAGACTGTTCCCCTGGAAGTACAGCAAGGAACACACCAATTGGTCGTTTTTAAGGACAAGCGGGCTAACCCAGATTTCGGGGGTTTCCAGAAACATTGACCTTCACCAAAAGTGGGCATTGCCCTACCTATAGGAAAAGTTTGGTTTCGTTGGTGTATATGTTTGTTTGGTCATAGAGAAAAACTCTCCTTGTTTCTTAAAGAAACCGTACAAGGGGCAAAAACTTTACCTTCTCAAAACAGCTTTTTTTCGGGATAGCCCCCTTGCGCTTAAAAGCGACCAATTATACAGGAGCCTCTTTTACTCTAATTCATTTTTACAACTAATCCTTCTAGCTTTACCGCCCACATTTCTTTACTATAATTACTAAAATATTGCCAGCAAGCAGTTCAAATATAGTCAGCCCAGAAAGCTATATATTTTTTTGTGAGTTTAGAGGGAGAAAAAAAAACGTTCATTTTTTTAACAACTGCACCTACTTAAGTATTCTTTCTAGCTTTTTTCAACATTTAGAATTTGAATTCCGACAAAACATTTCTTGGGTACATGCAACTGATACCAGAGATTAAGAAATTGATGAGGAAAAAATTGTCAAAATTTTGGAGTTTGTACATGCTGTACAGCTGATCGATGATAGAGAAAATATATATCAAACAGTTTTTGGCTCATAAGAATGTTAAATTGCAAACCTTTCTCCTGCCGCAGCAAAAGTAGTACTCTTCTTAATTGTTACAAACTAATTTGGTGATTTAAAATGTGGAGTAAAGGATCCACACCAGCCACAAAATCAAGGAATAAGTTATGATTGAGTAAATAGGCTGTGAGAAATCAGTTCAAAGTTTGAAAATAGTTTATAACTCAATTAACCCCTAGCCAACACTTTAAATTGCCTTCGTCAGTAAAGCTTTACAGAAAGAATATACCTTTATAATTGTAGGTGAGTAATATGGTGGCATCGGTGGCCTAGTGATTAGTCTATCGGACTCGTAATCGTGAGGTTGCAGATTCGAGGGTTCGAGCCGTGGGCCTGATGTTGCATCCTTGGGAAAGACACTTTACAAAAATTTTCCTAGCTTCACCCAGGTGGGAATGAGTACCCATCCATAGAAAGCGAAAGCTCTTATCAGTATGTTAGTGTTTTTGCACTACAAATGGCAGCTTGCACTGTATGCTTTCCAGGAAGTTGACGCTGTTCTCAGGTCCGCTGGGGTAATAGTATAGATTGTGAAGCACATAGAGCTTGCTGTTGAGCGGGGATTTGCATTATACAAATGCTATCTATTATTATGTCTCTGTCCAATGCTACAAAAGCTACATCACAGACGTGATGGATAGATAAGGCTGAAGAAAAATGTTTTTTCAGTAGTACCTTTTGTTATTACCAAAGCCTGGATAGACCTACCTCTTATACAATTTACAAGGCAAAGTGCCTCGCATTACAGGAAACTCAGGATCAAATAAAAAGTGTGAAGCAAGCCAGGACCAGCTCTAAGGCTATACATACCCATACGATCAGCCATGGAGTCAAAGAAGACCCATCGAGCACCTGGTCCTGTGCCACATTTCACAAAAGACACATAATGGCTGGTTTGAATGCATATCACAGCAAAAAGTTCCATCACTTCTCTGGGCAAGGAGATAGCCACATCTCCATTGTTGGCCTCCCCATTTCGGCTCGCTTTCATTAAGGCTTCTTCTTTCATCCGCTCGTAAACCGGCAGAAAGTTGGCCGCTCCAGGAATTTTTTGCGGTTCATGGTTTCTCCGGCTTGCATGTTGGTGTGACTGAGGGGGACAAAAATATGAAGATAACGAATTTCTAAATTCATTTTAAAATTGAAACCCAACTTTTTCTTTCCTATTTACACCACTCATTACACCCAGCCATTATATAACGTCTTTCATAGAAAAATGTTGTACTCAACATCAGTAGTAAATCTGGGAGCCATCCTACTGCTTGCGAACAAATAACTCCCCCCCGGATGTCAATAGAACGAAGGATTATTTGATAGGTACAGTTCTGACCAGTCTGAGACTGGCTTACTTTTTTTTCTGACATACATTTTCTAGTCCCTGCTCGAGTTGCTTTCTCTTCATCAATAAATGAGCATAATGAGAACTATATATATATAATAAGCTTTTGCCACAGGGTTTGCTTGGAGACTTTTTAAAATCAACCACTACCGTACTCATGGAAAAAAATATGTATTCTTAGAATTCTACCAAAAACATAATGCTTACAGCAATAAAATAAATGGGTCAAGCTGCTTGAGCAGTATTAATGATGTGTGCGTCTTATATTGGCATTTTACTTATCGTGAGTCAATATTTGGTATAATACAGAATTTTGTTAGTCCTAAACTATCAAGCACAGTGTAATCGAACATTAAAAATGTTTAGCATACACCATCACAATGCCATCTGTCCATTGATAGGATTTTGTTTTTTTGAGAAAAGATAATGGCTATATAATATGAACGATTAAAGTGTTATTGCATACAGTTGAATTTTTTAATTTCATTTGTCACATCCGAGTATCTCACCTTCAGGCAAAGGCTTACTTTCCTTTTACTTCATCAATACAAACAAACAAATAAACATTTATATCACAAAACAACTGTTCCTGCAAAAGGTGGAATAAGAAAGGTCACAAGCCAATTTACCCTTCTCACGCAGTTGTCGCAGAATGCTGTAGTATTTAAGCCTGGCCCATGCACTTGATAGCAGTCTTTGCACTCATTTGTAGCCAGACTTCCACAAACAATGCAGTCCCTTGGGACTGAAAGAGAAAAGAGAAGCATATTTTCTTTGTTGACCATCATGGGGGTAAAGTAAATACATTTTTTGGGGACAACCATCACAGGTGAAAAACAAAAAAATAAGTAGCCTACTGTTTCTTTGATTCTCATCACAAGACAAAAGGACGACATTAGTCTATCACAATAGAAAAACAACTTTATAAAAATTCTTGAATTTAAATATTACCATTTTTTACATCAATATGAAAAACGACAAATTGCTTAATTAAAGTCTGTTGCTATGGCTACTTTTTTGGACTTTATTTTGTTTCATAAATGAATTTTTCATTAGCCTTTACACTGTTCTTGTCAAAAACTTTCTCCTCTGCCCAAAACTTCCGAACGATTATAATAATAATTTGCGAATTAATCTATGAAAAAGTTGAAATATAAAACAAGGTTATCATTACAAGCACTCTTGAATATTAATAAACTTAATAAGTTCAGTTAAATCCAAGACTTTTGCAAAATTAAGGACAACTAATATTTTTCACTCACAATTTTCTAGAATGTCGGTAATATCAAGTTGTAAGCTTGGCACGATGCGGTGAAACATTTTGTAATCTTTTCCAAACCTGGGCATTTGGATCATAAGGCAAGAAGGAACCTGGGCAGACAGAGAGAGAAACTGTGTCAGAATGAATAAATTCAATTCAAAAGACACCACAACTTGAACCAACTTTCATACACACAAAATTTTTTAACAAACAACTGGTGTTCAAAGAAAATTTACATATAAAAAGTTTAGTGATGTTCCAATCAAGCTTCCACTGAACAAATCCCAGCAGAGTTCAAACTGGACAACAGTAAAGAAATTTTTTTCTCCTAATAAATCATACTTCACTACAAAATTGTGCGCCTCTGTATAAATCAACTGCAAGCTGTGCACATCTGTGGCAAACTCTTCTCTGCCAGAATTGGTCTTATTGGCCACAGCAGAAGACACAAGTCATCTTAACACTGCTTTCTTTCATTTCCCTAGAGAAATACTATCCTCTGCCCATGCTTTGGTCATTGCCAGACACTGACTTCTGAAAAACTATAATTATTGTTAATACACCAGAGTAGTCCTCACACTATTATACATTTTAAAGGAAAAAAAAGGTTCCGAAAGAAAAAACAAACACCAAAAAAAAACAAGGATTCAAGAAAACCATACAATTACTTAACTACTGGAGACTGGGCCTTTTTTGGGTCTACATGCACTGGAGACAGGCATTTTGGGGGGTATTTCAATATTTCAAACACCCTTCCAAAAGACATACAACCACCATTTTTACACGCATAACAGATCTAAACATGCCCAATAGGACACAAAAAAACAGAAAGGCAATATCTTTTATAGTTTTAAAAAAATGGTTTTTTGAAAATGCGCTAAAATTTACTGCTCGCCAAAATTTTTTGACTTAACGTCTTGTGTAAAAACAACAACAACAAAGCAAAAAAAAAAATCAACCTTGTGTGTGTCTTTTGTTGTGTCTTGTGTCTCAAAATGAATAAAAAGTTCAAACTCATGAATAGGCAGGTAATCGATATGGTCATCCTATTATGCATTAGCTGTGTAATCCAAACAGGGCTCCAGACAAATCGGAATTTTGCATTGGAAAGCCTAGTCTAGATCTAGAACATTCTCCATCAGAATCAGTGCTTTGATGCTCATTTACATTAAAATCAGGATCCCCATGGTCTGAAATATCACAATCCTAATTTTCAAAACTGTCAAAGTCGTCAAACACTTGAAAAATGTTTGCTTTTCGTGCTGCCAAGTGAGTGATTGGCGGGTGCTCTGGTGTGGTTTGCTCCTTCTTTCCTATTAAACATCTCTTGTCCTGATCTCTCCTCCTTTTTTTGTGTTTGTTAGTCACTTGTAACACCTAATCTTCGGCACTTATATGACCTTATTGTGTTGCAAGCGCAGTAAAACTTTTACTAAAACGAAACGTGCTGCCATTGTACTGACAAAGTGTTGTGAGAACAGACATGTCAGAGAAACAAAAGTAAGGCCTCAGTGTGACTAACTTTCCTTCCGGCTCGATAACTCAAAAAGTTTCTAGCCAATTCCAGTGAAACTTCACATGAAATGAAACAAAGGTAGGCTGCATGGAAAGAGATGGTTCACGCATGCGTGTTTGCGAGCACAGTTTACCGAGGAAAGAACACCAAACTTGTGCTCCCAAGGGGTGCTTGAAGTGCCTCTCAGGAAAATAATGGTGCTCACAAATGCTGCGTGAATCGTCACCAGTGAGTTTAACACTAACATCCATTAAAGAAACAGAAAAATTGATTACCTTTTTTAACTTTACATTTCCTTGTAAGAAAGACAGTTCTACCAGTTTCTGTGTAGTTGGAAGCAACAATTTGTCATCCTTCTCCATGAAGAGTTGGTAGAAATATGTGTGTTCACCAGAACTGTGAATGTTCCAGAAAAAAAAGGCTCAGAGTCAAGCACAAGCCACAGCTATCCAATTCATTCGATATAAGTACATAATAAAAATACCATTTTAGAATAGAGTAAATGCAAGATTTTAATGTGTTGAAGAAGAAGCTAGCTTTAAACAATAACTGCATTAAAGTTTTATTGTTTTCGGTTTTCTTTTAATTTTTTTTAATGAAAAAAAGTAAAAAAGCAAGGGAGAATATAACTATGACATGAGACAGTCACTTATATCCTGGAAGCAGACTAGGACGCTAGTAACAAGCAAAAAAGAAGTAGAATAAGCAGAGTACCCACAAACCACATGCCAATTCATCAGAATTAACAGACTGCAAATCAAAAAAGAGATAAAGATGTTTTCCCAATTGCTTGGTAAAGGATTTTTATCAAATATAAATGCATACAAGCAAAACCATGAGAATTCATTGTAATGAGTGGGCATTTAGCTTTACTGTAAACTTCATTTAGAAATGCTCTCTGACAGAAATTACTTCTGCTTATAATGAAACCTTTTACTCATAGCTCCTGATCGTTTTTACAAAAATATGGAAAAGCAATATTTATGGTTATAACAATGTTTTTTTCCACATCCAAACACCATCATCATCAGCAAAGTTTACTTTATACATACATAGCCAAAAATAAAGCCACCCCCCCCCTCAAGAGCTCCAACACCAAAGATTCACCTTAAATGTAATAATGGATCTGCTTTCATGATATCTGTAAGCAAAGCACTAAGAAATTCTTCTGGGTCTGAAAAGAAAGATGCATTCATGGTAGTTTCAGCATGAGGTTCAATATTAAAAAGGGCTTTACAGAAAACTTAATAACAATCCTCACAATGAAATTTACTGTCTTGGAACACAAAACAACAAGTTACCATTCAATCTTACAAAGACTAAGCAGCATTAGAAACAATGTAATGACAAAAGCTGACCTGATAAAACAACTCTTAAATATTTATGACAGTATTTTTTTTAAAAACAACCTTTATTCACAGCTGAACATATGAGTGAGCGTATGTGTATGTAGGTGTGTGTGAGTTTGTCAGCATGTGCAGGCTGTGTCTGGGTGGGGTGTTTTTCAGCGGAAAGATAAAGGTGGGGGGGGGGGAGGGAGAAGAAGATGTCGTGTATGACACAGTATTCTTACAAGAGAATCTACAATATATTGTTTCTATTGTAAAAGTACTCTCTTTTGACGAATTGTCACAACTTTCGTGAACTGTGAGAAAATTTCCCTGAGTTCAACACTGTTCTCTTTTTTTTCATCTCATCCTCACATGTCTCGTGGCAAAAATACCTTTTTCTTCACTCATCATGCCTTCCACTGTGGCTAGCTTGTCTAGTAAAGACCTAAGCTTCAAAACTTTGTCTGCCCTGACGTAGTTGAATCTGGGAAAACAAAACATCAAAGTCAGAGGAACAAACTTAAAAGCAAAGAAAAGACTACTTATCATAAAACAAAAAATGAGACCACGGAAAAGCTCACATAACATGAAACTCAAGACTAACTTTCCAAAGTGCTAAATTAATGGTAGATTGATAAGGCAATAGAATACTTAGAAGACTACTTCTTTTCTTTTCATTAAATACAATACGAAAAGAATACCATAAGAATTATGAAAAAGACACGAAAGAAATTTATGGGTATGATGCTTAAAGATCTAATTACCAAAAAAGCTTAGATTTTCAAATTATCACTTGCCTTCATTAGTATTTCCTTTTCCTAAGATTCTGAAGTAGTTCAGATAAGCTTAAGGTTATTATGGTACACTACAGCAACAAGTTTTTCAATAAATGTTCATCATGTCCATGTAGACCCTCTTGTATTAGTTTAAGCAAAGCAATGTTCTCATTTTCCTTGTTAGCAATACTCAGCAGAGAAAATGACAAATTCGCATAGGCTTCGTAAGTTATGTATAATACACCATGATAAATCATAATTAATACAAATTTCTATTCTTCATAATACCTAAGGGGCAAAGATTAGGAGCCAACAGGAATTTTATGACAATCCAAGAAAGTATGCCCATTTTTCACACATGCTGCATTTCGTTGTATTGATATAAATTAAATTGAAAAGTCAAGGATCACAGCAGAAATATCCAGAAGAAACAATTTTAAGCGAGATCAATGAAAAAAGAACAATATTATTTGACAGAAAAGTGGTTGAAGGATGTTTATGAGAGTATTTTCTTCTGTATACGCTGTCTCAAGGTGAGAAAAATAAACTTTTTTTAAAGCCTGATATGATGTAACATGCTGGGAACAAGTTACAATATAATTATACGATGGATAAAAGCAAGACAGTAATACAGAACAATCAAAAAACCAAATCCTCCAAAATTTTCTCTTAAATTGTCTTGTCTTTTTCAGCCACTTTCTGCACAATGGTGGTATCGAATTGAGCAAAGAAAAGTACTATTCTTACCACCTTTATACTCCTTCAGCCGATCCACAAACCAAACTTACCACCTTTATACTTCTTCAGCCGATCCGCAAACCAAACTTACCACCTTTATACTTCTTCAGCCGATCCACAAACCAAACTTACCACCTTTATACTTCTTCAGCCGATCCACAAACCAAACTAGTTATAAGGGAGTACTTGATTAAGGGACTCTACTATATGTTATAAACCATACTCGTCGGCGGCTGTAGGGCACCACAGGTAGGTTTTGCAACTTTACTATTCCTTTCTTGTTGCGGTCTGTCTGTCTGTCTTGCTTTTTCCTAGCAGTAATGACCATTACTGTGTTGATGTGCACCTCTATACTCAAACGAACAAACAATACTCACTTCCGCAAAGGGTTGACAATGCCATCCTTTAATACTCTCTGCACCTCTGGATACTGCGGCAAATCCCCTGGCCTGGGCTGGCGGTTGAAGATGAAGTCGAACACTGTGGTGAAGTAAAACATACAAAACAATGTGGCGTCAAGATAGCACGAATTGTGATGTCCTTGTATCCCATGGTGCTTCCCACAGATCTGCCGGAATTCTGCTTCTGTCGTGAGGTCAGGGGGAGCGACATCGCCGGGGACATCAGGGGTCGGCTTTCCTCCAAAATCTGGGGGTAAAAAAAACAAAACCAGCATTACAACGTAATATCTATATATATAAGTTTGTTCCCCCTCCATATTTCCTCCGCCCTCTCCCATCCTCTTCCTTCTCCTCTATAGCTTCTTCTCCTTCCCTTCTCCTCTTTTTTTACCCTCTTCTTCCTCTCCCCTTTTTTTCTCTTTCTTCTACTCCCCTTTCTTTCCTACTTCCTCTTTCCTCCCCTCCCATCCCCCCTTCTTATCACCTCCTCAATCTTCTAATTAAATGCTCTGTACAAAGTCAATATATAACTTCCAAAGCAAGGCAAGGATTTTACCCCGTGGCTGGGGTAAAAAAAAATATGGTAGAATGAAGGAAACAAGAGTGAGACAATACAATAAAGTAAGGATCAAACATTTAAGAATAGACACCTGAAAATGGTGTTTCACTATACTGGAAGCAGTTGCATCCATACTGGAGAACCATAGGTCTAGTACGCCCCAGCCCACAGAAGTTTACCTGATTAAACAATACAAAACAATCATTCTAAAATCCACCTTTCACCCTCTCTGAATTCCATTGTTCAGCGAGACAGCCCCAGTGATAGAACCCACAGAGAACAATAAATGTTCACATACCGCTTGATATCTTCCTCTCTGTAGCAAACCGCTTGTCCTTACTGCACTTGTACAAGGGGACGAACAAGGCTTTCTTCGGGGCACAGGTAAAATATCGTACTAATTTGAAGGTACCATCTGTCGCTCCATTAACTTCTTCCTCCTGAAAAATAAACAAGGTTTTGTTTTTTAATTAGACAGTACTTGCAACACAATCATATTACATAAGTGCTGGAAGATTAGAGGTTTTACAAGATAGTAACATACAAATAAAAGAAGGACGAGAGATATAGACGATAGATTTAATTGAAAGGAAAGAAAGACCAAACCGCACCAGAGCACCCACCAACCACCAACCTCCTAAAAAAGGGTAAAGGCCCCATCAGTCACAGGAAACCATCTGCCTGAAACACCATAATTTCCTCCTCAACAATTTCTCGGCTGGTTAACATCACAGTCACTGCATATAATCATGAACACAAAGGCACAAGTTACGTCTGTAAAATCACTCACATTCTCGCATTCTCTCGAGTTGCCACACGCAAAAGAGAAAACCGTGGCTGTGTCATTTACAATGCTTAAGATACAATCATCATATCAATATCATCTGCAGCAAAAGAAGAAATTTGGCAGTACTAACTTTCATCTTTTTTTTTGTTGTAAATATCAGAAGACATGCCAGGAACAAGTACAACATGCATTTTATCCTAACTCTACTCAAAAGAAACTTTCTCCTCATTGTGAAATTTCGTAGGAGGTAACTCTTTAAATATGTCATATGCTTACTTTTGCTATGAGATCATTAGATTTATTTGTTTAGTAAAGAGAGAGGGAGGGGGTGGGGGTAGGGGAACAATCAAATTATACTACTGGAGAAAAATTTAATACTTTTGCCCATTGCCCATACTAACTCAAAAAGTACGACAACGGCAGTAAAACTGAATAAGAATCGTAACAATTCAGATGAATTTATAATGGTGGGCAGCCCTGGCATGGTTTGCTCCTTCTTTCCCATCAAATATCTATCATCCTTGTCTCTACTCCTTCATTTTTTGTATATGTCACTCTCATGTAACACCTCTAATCTTCGGATCATTACCTACCTGTGTTGCAAGTGCCGTAAAACTTTTACTAAAACTAAACAGTTGCAACAACAGTAACACAAGAAAAAAAATTATTAGCAGAAGGCAACACAGAACACAGGAGCAGCTACCCATCACTCGCACCACAACCATGTGGTGAGCACAAGAAATAGCACTACAGGGGAGAATTATAGTAGTATAATTTCCAAAAAAGGGTCTACCAATACGGTACTTGTTTATACCGGGACCTCCCGAAAACAACCGAGACCTCCCAAAACCACCCGAAACCACGCCAAAACCACCCGAAACCACCCAAAACCTCCCGAAACCACCTGAAACCTCCTCTAAATTTCGAAGATATAATGTTATATGCTATTCTATCTATCGCTCTGTGGATAAAATATAGATCTGTAATACAATATTACTGTATTTGGATACTTCTTGATCCTAAATATATAATTTAAACCCCCCAAAAATGGGAATAATACTGTCATAACTCAACATCCCCGTAGTGGAAATCACTCAAGCTGGTTGAGCTTGTGCATAAAATCCAAGCACTCGTCCAAGCATAATAGAGGGAGATGCAGAGAGCCTTTTGTGGATTGGGAGAGTTTGACCTCTGCGATGAGTTCAAACATTTTAGAGTCCAGAGGGATGTCTGGTTCCAATTTTCAGATCAGCAACTGAAGAAACATCTGGCAAAATTTGTGAAGCAATATAAAGACGCTGGACTTGTTCATTCCACAAGAGATGGACGGGCTGTAAGAATCCCAAAGGCAAAGTGTGAGAAGCCAGGGAAAGTAATGACCATTTCTTCAACAAGCTGTCTTTGCTTTTCATAAACCGAGGTTTGGTCCCAGAAGTTTTAGAAATTAATGTAGTTTGAAGGTTATAAATATTACGTGAGTCACCGCTCTGTTTTTTTTTTATAGACAAGTATTGTTTCTTGTAATAAATTGCATTGGCTCCTCTGAAATATTCTGGCTCAGTTTGATCTCAATTTTAGTTGCAGAGTCCCCATTACATACTTTGGCAATTTCTAGTGGTAAAATATGGGTACAGTAGTGTGTGAAAATTGACTTTTGGAATGAAGATTGGAATTCTAACAATTTCAGCGTACTTGGCTTCTTATTTTGTTCCTCTTAATTTTTTTCCTCTTAAAATTCACAGAGAAATTCAAAGTTCTTTTATTTATGAGAAATTAAGAAAGTTTTTATCTTAAGACCTGTAACATGAAGAGTTATCTTATTGGTGCCACTTATAACCTGTCGGCTCGTACTTTGCTCTTTTTATAAGAGAAAATGATGGTTTGTGAAGTCTTTGCTCAACTTCATTCTTTATTTTGTTTTAACTGATGAGCGACTGCTCAGGTTGTAATTAATAGCCTGTACTTCTTATAATTTTAATTAATGTTATAGTAGTATTCAAGTACAGATTTTTCACATAATGTAATGATGCGGTATTTAATTTTTGTTATCGTGTGCATGTTGTGAAGTATTCTAAGGAGAAGCGACCCCTAAAAATGTTTTTAGGTGAAATTATTAAAACTTGGGCTATCACTTATTATATAATATATTTCCTGGATATTTCCTGAACAATGCCCAGAAACGCATGTAAGCGTTTCTGTACCCTAAAGTGCTGTTTGAAGGGATTTTAGAGCAGAGGGTAGAATCTTTTTAAAAGAAAATAATTGCCCCTTTTTATCTCAAAAGGCATGTTTTACATGCTTCAGCTTCAGTAGGAAACCTCCATTCTATTTCTACCGTGTTAATATTATTATCAAGTAGGTGCCATGTATTAGTTTGAAACATGTTTTTACTGTTTCTAATTGGAAAGAGAACTATTTTGGCTTTTTCTAACCTTTATCGGCTGTTTTCTTAAAAATGCTATTTTCACACACTTTATCCCATTTTTCTACTGTATCTTATTCGATTTTAATGTAACTTTCACAGAATGTTAACGACACCTAGTTCTAGAAACTGTCTTGAGAAATTTGGGATTGCACGTGTAGTTTTTGATAAATGGCGTCAGAAAGTAATTTTTTCCCTTTTTCAGTTTTGCAATAAGCCGATTTTTTAAGTGCCGTAAAATGAAAACTAAAGCATATACCAAAAATTCATCTAGGCAATTTTTAGATCTGTACTTTTCCTATGTGCATGCCAAATTAAAAGTGTTTGAAAAAAAACCCAAATAAGTCACACCTAGTGAAATATTATCTCTCATAATGCTATTGTATTGTTGTTGTTTTTTGGCTTAAATAATTTATTCAGAGTCAAGAAGTATCCAGATACGACAATATTGTATTACAGATCAATATTTTATCCATCGAGCGATAGATAGCATAGTATATGACATCATATCATAGAAATTTTGAGGAGGTTTCGAGTGGTTTCGGAAGATTTTGGGTGGTTTCGGGTGGTTTTTGCGTGGTTTCGGGTGGTTTCGGGAGGTTTCGGTTGTTTTTGGGAGGTTCCGGTATAAACAAGTACCCCTACCAATACATCACTCACCATTTCCAAACCCGCTGTTCTTTTGCCATTGGGGTTTGGTTCACTGATCCATCTGATGACACCATAATGTGGAGTTTTCATAGCAACTTCAACCATTGAGCCCACATCCAGGTCCGGATCAGCCTCGCGCGAAAACCCAGAGGAAGAAGACTTTGACCCACTAGAAGAAGTAGCAGCCAAATCATCTGTTGATTCAATTTTTAAAAATACAACATTTCAGAAATGCTTCGTCACTAGATATTCTTGTGCCTCAGTAGAATAACATCATCTTTTTATGGAAGGCCAATGTCTCTAAATTTTTACAAACTATTCATAGAACATAAATATGTGGATCAAGGAAAGAGACAGTTGATAGAGAATTTTCAATTGTTAGAAAAAATGTCTATGAAGCATTCGAAAGCATTTAATGTCTCTTATACAATGCTAGAATTAAATTGGCTTATTGTGGAGTTGCAAATAATATGAAAAAAAGAAACTTTCACAAACGTGAATCACCTTGCAAACGAGAGCGTTCATATGGATTCATACATGCAGCCTCTTGACTGTGGCTGATTGGGTATGATCTTGCCACATCTGCCGATCGTGCTCCAGAAGTATTCAGCTTATCACCAGAATAGTTTGGCATATCATAACTTTTCTGTGGGAACAAAAAAAAAAAGAACCAGTAAAACAAATGTCATCACTTATGATAATTTCTCTACAAAGAAATATAAATAAATCCAAAACATTGTCACTGACTTTGGTAGCACACTTCAACTTTTATTGCGTCTAAAAACCTTATGTTCTTTTAAAACATTTGTTTTGACAGCAAAGAAATCTGCCTATATTAATGGGAACCGAAAAAAGCGTAAATGTATGGCTTTAACGCCCTTATCAAAACTTTTATGACCCCTGAATTTTAATTTTTGTCCCCAGTAGCACCAAGCCGAATGGGCTGATAGCCTTGAAAACACCACAAAACAACCAGATTTCAAGAATACCTAGTCTAGGATTCAAACCATCCACTCCTATGTCCGGCATAATACCAACTGTACTAGTGTAGCACCCATGGAAATCGAGGAAAATACAAACAAGAGATAAAGCATAATAGAACTCTCACTGCATCACAAATGGCACAATAATACAAGTTCACAAGTCCAAATAATAGCAACACTATGAATGGACATGTGGTGATTAAGTACATAAAACACTGAAATAATTAATACGAAAGGTCATCAATAATAATAATAATAATAATAATAATAGATTGCATTTATATAGCGCTCTATCCCATATTAGTATAAGCTCTGGGCGCTTTACATCAATCACAAGATCACCGAGCGATTCGCACTGGATAGAATATTTCAGAGTAACAGGAAAAACCAGTTCAAACACATAAAGAAGAACTTTCACAACCATACATTAATTATTATTATATACACAAAAGAACAGCAGTGAAAATAAAACATATCAGTACTTACTAACATACTAAAACTAAGATTTAAGCAAATGAGTCTTGAACAACCGTTTAAACGTATTAAGATTTGTTATTCCTCTGAAATCCTGGGCCATGGAGTTCCAGATTACATGATACTTTTTAATGAATTGGCACGAGAAGAGCTATCAAGGTATTTCATGACAATAGGTCATAATGTGAAAAAGAAAACAAATTTGACACCTGAGCGACTGCCAATTAATACACCGTCACCTGGTCCCTTCAGGATTAAAAGAGCGAAGACGTATTCTTCCAAACAAATCTGTGTCTAATTCCTATTCTCTAACTCTAAGTTGTTTTTTTTATAGTTTTAGTAGATGTTTTACAGTGCTCGCAACTGCATAAGGAAATATAAGCGCCAGAAGATTAGAGGTGTTACAAGAGAGTAACAAACATAAAAAAGAAGAAGGGGGAATAAGGACGATAGATGTTTCATAGGAAAGAAGAAGCAAACCACATCAGAACTCCCGCCAACCACCCACCTCTAAGTGTTGGCTACACACACAGAAATAAACACACTGTTTGTTCCTTTGCTAGAAACATATATGATAAAATTTAGTTATTCCAATTTTACTCATGGAAATGCTTTTTATTAGAAATCTCAGTTTGCACCAATGGTCTAGGCCAATCTGCCAGTCGCAGGATGGCTAGTCACTAAGAGTCAACGACATTATGAAATTTGCGAAGCAAAAGCAATGCTGGTTAAAGAGACAATAGAAATTACAAGTTTTAAAATGCTAATTTGACAATTCTAAAAAAATGTTGGAAGTCTTTAATAAATAATACACCATGGCACTGGGTCGCCTTTAAAAACAAACACATTCTAAAACTGCAAGGAGCTAAGAAAAATCTTTTTAAAAAGAGAAGTATGAAAATACCCCCGCCCCTTTTCTGCATAATCACTAAAATAACACACATGAAATAATAAAACTGACACTTTATGCCATCTAGGCTACTTACTATCCGTAGAATCCGATTACCTTTTGCAAACCACTGCTTTGAAGGGTACACATGATGTGTTAGTCTTAGAAAAATAAACTACTTCAAGAAGCAGCCCCAACACTACTGCAAAGATGCACAAACATTTTTTTAAAGACACAGGATTTTAGAGACTGCTTAAAAATTACTCCTCCTGTTAAAAAATTGTAGAAGTGCCCTAAAGTCCATTTTATAAATTCAAACCAGAGAAGGCCGGCACATAATATAGTGAAGGTAAAAAAACAAAACATTTTGGACAGATACAAAAAAGATCAGTTTCTGTATCAGTTCCAAAGAAACAGAAACAGAAACTGTACTGTCTTGTTTTGTTCTGTGTGGGGTTTTTTCGTTCTCAGACCTACTGCAGAGAGAGAAACCCAAAGAAGTAAAAGACAAATGGGGGGGGGGGGGGGGGAATCAATAGAAAAAAAACTGCAGAAGAAGAAAATCATGCAGCGAAGTTTCTTTCATGAATAAAACTCTCAACTTTGTGTAAAGTAGAGATATAGAAGGAGAAGAAAACTATTAAGAACACGAATTCTGTTGGAAGTGTGCTTGTTGTGATTTTGAGGTATTCAAATTCATTGTCAGTAACCTTTGTTGTAGGTAAGCCTCATAGACCAAGAGGAAACACTTCAAACTGCTAAGAATAAATCCGAAAAAAGACACAGAAACTGAAAATACATGAACACATTCTTTGCATTGGAAGATTTTTTTTTTCCACTTGCAAAAGCACAGCAGACTAATGAGTTAAATGAGAGATGAAAAATGCAAAAAGATTCTCAATCCCCCTTACCCCTCTCCTCCTCCCTCCCTCTCCTCCTGCCTCCCTCCCCCTCTCTCTCTCTCTCTCTCTCTGAATTTCTCTGTCAATTCTCCTCATAACATAAGTGCATTCAGTTTATTACAAATAAGGCATGCAATAGACCTTACCATGACACTGTGATTTTCTAAATAGCAGTTTTTGGGAGGCCTCTCTGGCCGAGACCTGCCCCCAATCTCATCCAACAGTTTTTGCTGCTGACTGATGAAGGCTGGCGATGAATTTAACTCTTGTATGACTGGTTCAGCTGTGAATGATCAGGGAAAACATGCACAGTTCCAGAATACACCTATATATTAAATTAGTATCATACCATGAATGGCATGTATTAACCTAATTAATTATCAATAGGTCAATTTCTCTGTCCTCCTATTTCTTGTCTTTGCTATTTACAATGAGCACATATACAATCAATATAGTAGAGGGAAGTTAAAAGACAATATTAAAAGATCTATTTCTTCAAATACATATATGTATCTTCATTCAGCTGTTCAGATGTACTGAGCCTAAATTTGTGAAAAATATTAAAATTGTAGTTTCTCAATCTGTGGTATCAGATGCATGTGCTCAAGAAATATTTTGTCAAAATTCAAATTTTAACAGTCAAAAAATGCAATAAAAGATAATGTTCTAAACCCATGGCCAGTCTATTCACAGAGCAAATGTTACACACCATAACGTTTACAATGTTCTTCCAAGAGGTGCAAAACATATGCCCACATTTGCTGGTAAAGACCGTCCTGCTGATAACATCAAGGGGGTAATAATTCATGGCATTTTCAAAACTGGTCACAGGGATTCTCATTCTGAACAGAAGAGATAGATTTTATGATGGGCTATTAAACAACCCATGGGCACTCAGTGAAGGTACAATTCTTTAAAGAATTAAATATAATTTTTTCTCTCTCCAGAAAAATTTCGCTTTCTAGGCTTAAAACGGTTATATATATAAACAAAGGTTTACCATTGCTACTCCCATTTTCAAACTCTTCCTCTTTCATCAAACCCATCAGAGGTATGAGAGAAGCATGTTTTGGCTGAGTGTAGAACAATCGATGGTCATTGTATTTTCCTGTTCCAGTTCCAACGGGATTGTCCTGAAACAGAATGACCACAATTATTCTATTACAACAAGCCAGGTTTTTAATGGGGGGGGGGGGGGGGGGGCGGGGGGAGGCTTCATTTACAGCATTCTTAAAAAGTGGCATGCAAGAAATATTCCTCTAAACTAGTCAATTAAGCATTTCATATATGGTTTTATGTAATGCATGATGTTTTTATTAGGGTGGGGGAGGGGGTCTTAAGAACATCACATCCATTTTTAAAAAAAAACAGACAATGACTAAGCATTTCATATTTGGCTCAGGGTAACACGATAAAGCTTTCAGCTTTGTTTTTTTTGGTTTTTTCTTCAAATGGTAGAATGTAATTCCAAGATATAAGTGGGAGGAAAAGATGCTTGACAAAAGGGATATTTTAAACAAATGGTAAGAACACATTGAACATATAATAATACATGACATAATCCTGTAATTAAGACAGAAAGAAATGGACCACCAATTTTGAAAAAAACAAAACAAGCAGTCATTAAGAAAATGAAACAAGGAAAGTAACAAAGTCAAAGAAATATTCTAACTGAAGCGATTGTCAAACTAGAAGAACTGAGTACTGAAATAACAACAAAGCTCTTAAATAGCATTAGAAATCAGTTATGAGATCAGAAAACTGCTTGCTGTATTTATTGAAGTAGATCACAATGAATTTCACCATATCTCTTGAACATATAAATACAGTCATAGAAAAACAATCCTTAGAAACATTTAAAGGAAAGCCCAGATCTCAAAGTAAAACGAAAAAATTTAGATACCATTAGAATAATACTTCAATAAAAGACCTTCCATAAATTTTTTCCTGAGATTTTTGCAACTAAAAGCGAACGTAACAGGTAATTATTTTATTCAAAGAAAATAACTTATTAAGACAAGGTAATATCTAAATAAGCTGTAAATTTTCTTTAAGTATAAATAAGCAAAGGTGTAAAGATTAAACATGCTTTAAAGTATACATGTCTTGGGCATATAATTTCAATTGAAGGGAAAAGTAAGACGTAAAAAAAATACATACGTCAAAACTAAAAACAGTTTCAATCCTAAAAATAGAACCGTTTCAAAGGCAACAAAAACCAGGGTTTAAAAGGTGTGTGATCAGCCGTTCTATACACCCATGAATGTTGCACACTTACCAAAGAAAGTGAAAATAAACTAGAGGCAACAAAACCAAAGTTTCATAGAACTTGACTGTAAAGAATTTCATGGAAGGAACAGATAGTACTGAAAGAAGCTATCAAGGGACAGTAAAACTATCAAAACAATTAGAAAGAGACAAAAGCAGATACTACAACACTTGGATTTGAATCTACACAAAGGCCTAGAGTATCCTGCTTGCACAGCAAACAAAAAAAGGAAAAGAAGCAGAGGTTGATAAGAATAACAAGTTATAATGTGCTTAGAGAACTTGAATCAAACAGATGACGGACATTAAAAGACCCAAACAAAGATATTTTAAGAGCATCCAAGAAGAGAATTGAGTCACGAACTACTACCATCAAAATGTCTGTTTCAGACCTGACACTTGGAGAAATAAAAAGAAGTAGCATTGTGTGGTGTCTGTAGCCTAGTGGTTAGACTCTTGGACTCGCAACTGTAAGGTCGCAGGTTCGAATCCCGTCAGGGGCCCGACGTTGTGTCCTTGAGAAAGGCACTTTACAGGAATTTTCCTCACTTCACCCAGGTGGGAATGGGTACCCGGCTATAGACAGCGAAAGATCTAGTCAGTTTGTTAGTGTTTCAGCGCTTAATCAGCTGCTTGCACTGTATGCTTCCCGGGAAGCTGAGAATGTTTCGGAGTGTTCTATGGTCTGCCGGGGTAATAATATAGTGTAAAGCGCATAGAGCCTGCTATTGAGCGGGGATATGCGCTATACAAATGCTATTTATTATTTATTATTATTATTTCTTTGTATGACCCTTGCTTTTCATTTATTCCCAACAGACGCAAAGGAAATGAGTCATGACGCCATGGAATCAGGCGCTTGTTAGTTTTTTAAAGGAGTCATTGGTATCTTAAAGTTTTTTCATTTGATTTGCTTTTGATGAAAAAATACCCATCTATTTTTCATAGTAATCGAGATATTTACAACTGAAGAAGGGGGGGGGGGGGGGGGCTGGTAGAGATAAAATTTACTATTTTGATGAGCGCCTGATTTCACCACAAGGCCACAAATACATCCCAAGAACAGGTTGACCACACCATACAGTAAAAAATGTTCAACTTACAAATTCAACTCCTACAGTCACATTGCTATCATCCGACTCTCCAGGCAATGTGCCAATCCATTTCACAACACCTTTTTCTGCACCAATGTCACTCATCCAGACCACTCTTTCCCCAATCTTTAAGCCATAATTGGAGGAGTCGTCTCGAGAACGCTTATTAGAGTCTTCAGTTGCTCGTAAACGAGCATTTTTGTGCCAGTCATCTCTTTGTCTCCTGATTTTGTGCAGGGGGATGAAAACAGCACAGTCTTGCTCTGTTTTGAAGAATCTTTTCTTCCTGTACATTCCATCACAATTACCTTTGGCTTCCTGAAATTCATTTTTGAAAAATGTGAATGTTATCAGTAATTGAAGACTGCACAATAATACTAGCAATAACTGAAGATGAAACAGAACTGAATTGTTATCTATTATAGAAAATAGAGAATAAGTCAAAGAAAAGATGGTACATCAAACTGCTATGTCCTACAATAATTGCAAATGGTACCATGATGCTTGCTGGAGATGGAATGGCACATTAAGCATTAACTGCAATAGGTATGTACAGTACAGTGATATCATCGTCTGTAGATATGTAGATAGTGCAATGTAGATATTACAAGAGCAGTAATTGAAGACAGAAGAGCAGTAATTGAAGACAGGAGAGCATTACAGCAGAAAGTTTCAATATAACTGATTTCCTTCAGTGATGTGAACAGTCACAAACTTGAAAGGGTAACACTATTACTAGTATTGAAGACCGTGGCACAGCAATGTTATGTGTAACAACACTAATTGAAGTTGGTACAACTATGCTGCAATGCAAGTGAAGTTAAAGAAGGTACAGAGTGTCCATTTTAACAATGCTTACAATGCTTTTTGTCAACTTGTCTGAATTGAAATATACTTCAAAATACAGTAGTACCAACCATAACAGTCACTTGAAAAACACAAAGGTGTCATGGAACAGTTCCATGACACCCTTGTGTTTTTCCTTCTTTTTTTTAACCCGTCTATTGCAGTCCCCAGTTAAACACGGCTGTGGGTCTGTCATTTTTTGCAACAAATCGGCCTCAAAACTTGCCCATACAATCACTTGCTATGCATGTACAATAGCTTTCTGCCAACTCATCCTCAGAGACAGTGTATACGTTCAATCAACACAAAAAAGGGAGATTTTAAACCATCTGTTACTGATTTCTCAAAATATAATCTCAGCCTAGTTGAAGCACGAAGATTTATTCATGTACAGTTAAACCTTGTTATACCGCCTACCTTGGGACGAGCATGAAGTTGGCGGTACAGCGGGGCTGGCGGTACAACGAGGTTTTCACGTCCACTGTTAAATACATGTTGCACCAACTCCCCAACGTCAGTAAACTAGTTTACCAAACACTAGACGAATTAATGGGTTATCACTTAGACTTGAGCATGAGTCCTCACTACATAAAAGCCCCACCAGCATTCGCCAGCCTGTAAGTTATTGGGCTGATATATCTGGCGACGCCAGATATTTTGCCAGGGGCCAAGATGGCAAGGATCCTTGAAAGTTTCCCCAGGCAACTTAAAAATTTAGATCTAGATCTAGATCTATATCTACATTAATTCCATTAAAAAAAAAAAAAATTATTGTTTTACATTGACCAAGGCCTAAAATTCATATCAGCAAATCAGATTTAGTCGGATTCACGCAAGGAGCAAAATTTGAAGCTGAATTTCAAAGAAGTTAAGTAATTTTAATGTACTCTTCTACATTACACATTGTAGATCTGTCGTGCTCGTTTGCGACACACTACATCACTGTAGATCTAGCCTTGCCTGAAATCTTGGCTACAAGACAAGGGCGGGGAGGTGGGATGGACGGGAAGGAAGCAAATCGTCGAAAAGCGTTTGATCTAGACCTAGGCCTAGCTCGTAGAGACGGGTGTGAAAGACTGTCATGAAACCACCGAGTGGATGTGCTGTGCGTTGTGGATGGGGTTTTGTGTGTGGGGGGGGGGGTTAGTAAGTGTTTTACGGCGCTCGCAACTTCATAAGGTCGTATAAGTGCGCTGGACACATTAAACGTCTTCAGTTGGTAGGACATCTTGAATTTTACCCGGTTAGCGGCCGAAGCCTACTCTTATCGATTTTAGACCACCAATGGATCTTAAACGTGCGCAGCTTGCACACGGGCCCTCCGAGAATTTCCGCCCTTGTCCGAGAACGCTCGGTGAAGATCTTTCCTACCAGAAGACCAGGGATGTGGCTGAAAGACAGAAGTAAGAAGGAGCCAAGGAGTAGCAGTAGAAAGGCTGCAGAAAGAGTCAGAGACCACAGGAGGGGGCAAAGGAGGTGAGGGGGTGGGGGCAGGAAGAGGAGACGAAAGCAGACGACAGAACCTTGCTACAGAGTAGGAAAGGAGGTGAAAGGAGACAAATTTAGAGAAGAAAATTTTTCGGTCACAACCCGGATTCGAACACGGGACCTTTGAATGAGAGGCAAACACCGTAACCTCTAGGCCACGAGAGCCCCCGTGCCTTGTGTTCGTTGGCGTTACAAAACGGGGTAAACTTACAACAGCAGGCCTACTAGTTTAATAAGGACCGTACAATTGAGACAGTTGGCGGATGACGATGTAAAGGAGCAAATACTACAATGTATGTTGTTTCTACAGGGGATTATATATATATA